TGTAGTCCATCTCCCTAAAGCTTTTGGCTCTGATAGGATTGATTACTACATAGTGGTTGGAAGACCCAAAGGCTAAATATATTTGACTCTGTTGCTATTTATTGTTGTTGTTCTTGTGTTGATTCATATTGATGGACATAATTTTTTTTTAAGTCCAATAAGTTGTTCTTTCTTATTCTTGTGAGCAGACCTCCCTTTTTCTAACATACCATTAATGCAGATATTCCCATGTCCACATCTAACTTGGTATTATCTACAGTGAATGCCACTGAACTTTATCTGTAAATGCACCAGAGAGTAAATATTTTAGGCTTTGTGAGTCATGTGATCTCTGTTGCAGACACTCAACTCAGCTACAGAAGTGAGCAAAGTAGCTAATAGACAGGAGTAAACAAGTGGCCGTGACTATATTCCAATTAAACAGAGGGCCGGCTGGATTTGACTCAAAGATGTATGGAATGTTGACTCTTAATCTAGAATAAAGAAGTTTGTTTCTGGCGGCACCTGTGGCTCAGTGAGTGGGGTGCTGGCCCTATATACCAAGCATGGTGGGTTTGAGCCTGGCCCCAGCCAAACTGCAACAACAACAACAACAAAAGAAGTTTGTTTCTCAACAAAAATTAAAAAGCAACCCAGATCCCCCCCATATATAATGGAGGTCTTTACCAGTATACAGGGAAAAATCAAAAAAGCTCACATGAGGGGGTGAGATATTAGTTTACATGCAAAAAAACTGTATCTATTTAAAGCATACAGTTGATGAGTTTTGACAGGTTTTACGTCCATAAAACAATCACAACAATTAAAAGTACAGAGGATCTTCGTCACCTCCAAAAGCTTCCTTGAACTCCTTTGCAGACCCTCTCTGCTCTGGCTCTAGGTAAGCACTAATACACTTTTTCTCTCTATAGATTAGTATGAATTTTCTATAGTTTTATGTAAATGGAATCAAATAGTATATAGTCCTTTCTGCCTGCATGCCTGCCTGCCTGCCTGCGTTTCTTCCTTCCTTCCTTCCTTCCTTCCTTCTTTCTTTATGAGAGGGTTTTTGTTTGTTGAGACAGAATCTCACTCTGTTGCCCCAAGCCACAGTGCCATGGCATTAGCCTACCTCACAGCAACCTCAAACTCAGGGTTCAAGTGATCCTTCTGCTCAGCCTCCTAAGTAGCTGGGACTACAGGTATCCACCACCATGACCAGCTAATTTTTCTATCTTTATTAGAGACAAGGTCTTGCTCTTGCTCAGCCTGGTCTTGAACTCCTGAACTCAAGTGATCCTCATGCCTCAGCCTCCCACAGTGAGCCACCATATTGTTCTGGTTTGTCTCTTTCCATCGCTGAGTAATTTTTCATTATTGGATATATCACAGTTTATTCATTCACTAGTTGATGGACATTTGAGTTGTTTCCTTTTTTTTTTTGTTATGGTGACATATCTTTGTGTGCACATGTTTTTATTTCTCTTTGCTAAACTCTAAGAGTAGAATTGCTAGTGTTAAATGTATATTTAACTCTGTCAGAAATAGCAAGTTAGGCTGAGCACAGTGGCTCACACATGTAATCCTAACCTCTGGGAGGCCAAGGTGGGTGGATCACCTGGGTTCAGGAGTTTGAGGCCAGCCTGAGCAAGAGTAAGACCTTGCTCTACTAAAAATATCTAAAAAAATAAAAAAAACAAAACCTAGCTGGGCATTGTCTGGTACCTATACTCCCAGTTACTTGTGAGGCTGATGCAAAAGGATCACAAGAACCTAGGAGTTTGAGGTTGTTGTGAACTAGGATGGCACCACGCTCTACCCAGGGTGACAGAGTGAGACTCTGCCTTTAAAACAAAAAAAAAGAAAGAAAGAAAGAAAGAGCAAGTTGTCCAAAATTGTTTACCATTTTATATTCCCACTAAGAGCATTCTTCATGTTCTTTTCAAAACTTATTTGTCAGTATTTTTAATCTTAGTCATTCTAATGGGTGTGTTGTCATATCTCATTGTTATTTTAATTTTCATTTCCCTGATGACTAATGATTTCGAACATCTTTTCATGTGTTTATTGTTTATATATCTTCTTCTGTGAAGTGTTTGTTTAAAACTTTTTTTCTTTTATTATGCTACTTACTGAGCTATAAGAAAGTTTTATAAGTACTAAACATAAATCTGTCATTTTGTATATATTACAAATATTTTCTCTCTTTGTATTTCCGTGTGCATTTGAAAATTAACTTGTCAATTTCTGCAACAGTGACAACAAAAAATGCTGAAATTTTGATTGGGACCACTTAGAATAAAGATGTATATTTAAGTAACATTGACATCTTAACAACATTGGGGTCTTCTGATCTTTGAACTTGGCATATCTCTGCATTTCTTTAGCTCTTTTTAAACTTCTCCCAGCAATAGTTTGCCATTTTTGCTATGAAAGTCTTCTATATTATTTTATTTCCTGGGACTATTGTAACAAATTACCACAACCTAAGTAGTTTCAAACAACAGCAATTTATTTTCACAGTTTGGGAAGCTGAAAAATCTAGAATCAAGGTGTTGGCAGGGCTGACTCTTTCTGGAAACTGAGGAAGAATCCATCCATGTCTCTCTCCCAACTTCTGATACATGCCCCTGTCCTTTTCTGCTATAGTGCCTTCTTCTCTCTCTGTTATAATGACACTATCATTGAATTTAGGGCCCACCCTTATTAAGGATGACCTCATCTCAAGATCCTTACCTAAATTACACCTGTAAAAACCTTCAGATTCCAAAAAAGATTCCATATTCTGAGGTTCCAGGTAGTCCTATCTTTTGGGAGCCACAATTCAATTCACGTTCATATTTTTGAAAATTTATTTCTAAGTGTCTTATGTGTTATGATGCTGTTACAAGTAGATTTTTTAAATTTATTTCCTATCACTTGTTGCTAGTATATAAAAATATAAGTGACTCATGTATGCTAATCTTATATCTTGTATCTTACTAAATGAAGTTATTAGTTCTGGTCCTTGTTATGTAGATTTTTCTGAGATTTAATGCACGCATAAACAATCAGGCTGCTTACAAATAGAGCAGTTTCACTTCTTTCTCTATTTATGCCTTTTCACTTTCTTGCTTTATTATAATGACCAAGGCGTTCAGTGCAACCATGAATAGAAATGGTAAGAGCCATCATCTTTCCCTATTTGAAATCTTTAGGGGAAAGCTACTTTATAGTTCACCATGAAATATGATGTTAACAGATTTTTTTGGAGAATTCTCTTTATCAGATTGAGAAAATTTGCTTCTATTTCTATGTCCTGAGCAGTGACTTTTAAAAACGAATGTTGAATTTTATACAATATTTTTTCTGTGTATATCTCATTTATTTGATTAACATAGTAAGTTTCATCATTTGGTTTTAAGATGTAAAATCAATCTTATATTTCTGGAATAAGTGGATCATGATTTTCTTTAATGTTGTTAGACTTGATTAAAATTTGGGTGAAGATTTTTGCATCTATGCTCATGCAATATATTGATTTATAATTGCTATTAGTTTATTTGCCTGATTTGGTTTTTAAAAAAAAGGTGAAATAGTGAAATAGTTCTTCTTACTCTATTTTCTGAAACAATTCTATTAGATTAGTATTATTATTTTTTTTTTTTTGAGACAGAGCCTCAAGCTGTCCCCCTGGGTAGAGTGCCATGGCTTCACTGCTCACAGCAACCTCCAACTCCTGGGCTCAAGTGAGTCTCCTGCCTCAGCCTCCCAAGTAGCTGGGACCACAGGTGCCTGCCACAACGCCCGGCCATTTTTTTTTTTTTTTTGGTTGCAGCCGTCATTGTTGTTTGGCGGGTCCGGGCTGGATTTGAACCTGCCACCTTAGGTGTATATGGCTGGCGCCCTAGCTGCCTGAGCCACAGGCGCCGAGCCAGTATTATTTTTTACTTGAGTATTTGATAGAAATCGCCAGTGTAAATTTCCATTTTACACTGTAAATAGAAATTTAAATGTAAATCTAAAATTTTCTCTGTAGGAAGATTTAGGTAATGAATTGTAAATATAGTGCTACTTAGGTTTTCTGTTTTATCTGTGTCAGTTTTAGCAAGTTGTATTTTTCAAGAAATTTTCCCATTTTAGCTAAGTCACTAACCTTGTTTATATATACCTAGCTTATAAAAATACACCTAGCCTAGAAATTATCTCCTCTTTGAAATCTTACCTGACACTTCCCACAGAAGTGATTTCTCATCCTTTGTACCATTCTTTTACCCGATACCATCTGTACTGCCCACCTTCTATTGACGTTTGTTCATGTATCTCTTCCTATTCTAAATTAAGGGCCCCCAAGTTTGGTATTTGCATCCTATATAATCTTTGAGTCTTTGCCATCTTATATGGTGCCAGCACATGTAGACTAACCCTTCTCCTACATGTTTAAATAACTAAATTATTCTACTTAATATAGTCACACAGGTATGTTTCTAACTTTCTCAATAGGTGGCAGGCATTTTCTGGAAAATGATGTGTATTAATTAATGTTTATATTCCTCATATTTCTCATATGTAGAATAAACTTTTTAAACTGTGAAATTGAGTGTATTTTCCAGACAGTACAGAAAATCACTTTTCTGTGAACTCAGGGAAGAGAGGTTCAGTGGAAATCTAGAAAGCATGTATCAATAAAGGCAGGGAAATGAGGGAGTAACACCGGTGAATGCTGACTGTATGCCAGACCTGGGATGGATAATTTATATTTCTTTTCTCATTTATCCCCTCAGATAATTAAGCATAAAACATAGAATAGATGTTTGATAGAATCAGGTTTTCCCCTCCCACATAGACCTGCCCCGCCCAGACAGATTCAGGTTCATGACCCATCCAGGAAAGGTCAGACTCATGTCTCTTCCAGGTAGTAGGAATGCCACCAATTGCTACCTTCTCCGACCCTTTACATCCCCATCGGCCATAACCCACCTGTGGAATTCCTTTCCTGATTTCACCCCACCTGCATCCAGGTGGAAATAAAGACCACATTACTCCTACAGAATGGGGATTCCATTTTCCTTTCATTATGTGCCTTGGAACAATCTTTCATCCTTGAGTCCAGAACCTTTCATTATTATCACCATTTTACGGATCAAGAATCTGAAGTTCAGTAAGGTTATACAAGTTCAAGTTCAAGTTCACAGAGTTATTAGTAACAGATCTGGGTTTCAGATCTATAGTAAGTAATTCCATCATCCACATTCTTGGTTGTCCATTTGGTTTTCAGTAAGACACTTGATGGATCTTCCTGAGTTACCTTCACACTTTGCGGGAATAGAACATTCTGTGGTTCCTCTTATTGAGTGGTACAGGTCCCTCTGCAGTTCAGAAATGCTGAAAGTGTTCCCTGGATACTTGTTCCGCCTCTAGCATGAAATATACAGAAGGAACAATGAAGACCCCAAAGAGACTCTGTTCTCAAAGTAGGCTGCGTAATTCCCTGTTGTCTTCTCACTGTCCTGCAGGAGCCTTTTTTCTACAACCTTGATGTTCTGTTCTTTTGATGGTATCAGATGCGGCCATTATGGTTGTGGTTAACTGGGGGCATCACTGGCTCCTGAGTTCCCACCCAGAAAGTATTAGGGTAAATCAAAGTGGCCAAGTCCATGATAACACAAGTGATGTCTATGGCTTGTGTGAAGGAGAAGGATCTGACAGCTCATCTTACATTTGTGTATGTTGCATATTGGTTTTCTTTAGCGAGGTCTGTGGGCTAACTTGTGTAAGACAGAAGATGTTATTCTGTATGGAGATAAGAGAGCAGAGGATGAAATAAATACCTGACCCCTCAGAGGATGTTTTCAGTTAAAGAGTTTCTGAGTAGCCACTTGAAATAAAGGAAATTTCCAGGAATAGAAGGAGGTGGGAAGAAATAAAGGGCAGAATATTACCACTTCCTTGTTTCCACTAAAGGGCCTGCTTAGGCAAAGCACAGTCTGTATGACAGCTGCCTTATAAAAACTTGCTGAGTGAATGGATGAATGTTAAATTCTGGACTTTCTTACATGGTAGCTTCCAATTGCGGCGAAGTTGTTCCAGCTGGGTGCCATAGAGGGCCAGGACATAGCACACCTTTCTTTTAGATCCTAGAAGCTAGGATGTATGATCTACACTGCTTGGATAAGATGAGCCTCTGGCAGTTCCGTTTATCCAGAGGCAAAAGGATGCCTACAACTAGAGCAGTCTTTTGGGTTCCAACAAAGAACATGTATATTGCCTAAGGAAACAATGCTTCCTCTTATAAGGTGCAGTCTGGCTCCTCTGCTCTGAAGAGGGCTGTTCCTGGAAATGTGCTCTAGAGACCTTCCTATTTAAGCAGGATACAAATTGCATTGTTATGCAATTCCCCTGCTGAGGGCCTGAAAAGAGTGAGTTGGGACAGATACAGCAAGATATTAGGGCAGATTTCCCCCATTATTCTTGTTGCATGGCACAGAAGGGAACTTGATTTCCAGGAGATGACCCAATTTTTAGCATACTTTTCTACCCATTTTACCCGTAACTCTCCCAAATTTGGTTGGAACTGTACAGAGAAACAATAAAATTAAAAAAGATAAACTGCCTACTTAAAAATAAAATGTCATTTAATTAAAACCAAGCTTGCAAATTCACGAAACAAAGGAAAAAGCTCTCTGATTCAACCTCAGGCAGTGTAGCAGGGCACTGTTCTTTGCAGTTCTGATTGTCTTTCCTTTGTATACTGGAAGTAGGTATTTGTCGTCTTGTTAACAATCACTAAGTTGTACACTCTTGCATTTGGCATCATAATAGTCTTGTTCAGCCACGAAGTTTTCATTTCCTTTCTGTATTTCTTTAAAGCTTGTTTCTGAGTGGTGGTTCGCAGAAGCTATTAGTTTTAAGTAACACAATCCATTTAGTCTACTGTCATCTTTATTTGCTTAAAGTAAAGAATCAGATTTTGTTGCAAATAAGTCAATCCTTTCTTTCCTTTTACAAAGCAAAATACCTATGGATGCTTAAGAAAAAAACAAAAGCAAGAACTGAGGGAAATAGAAATTCTACCAGTTCCACTGGTCTTTTATGAACTCAATTATTAGCATCAGTAGAACTAAATCTGTAGGGAAAAGAAGGAAGAAATGCAAGAGGTTTTAGAGCTTTGAGTTTAAGCCACTCCAGTGTCCCTTCTCTGCTTTTTGCTATTACCCTGACTCATCCTTGCCCAGAGTCAGAAATGATCCCACAAGGCAGCTCAGAAGCTGAGGGGTTGGGGGAGGCAGCAAGAGTGAGGCTCTGAGTTATTCTTCCCCAGCGAGCTCCAATGAACTGGAGGTAGTAAGAGGCTGGCTGGAGACTGTCCTTTCTGCCTTTCTCAGATTGCATCAGAGAAACTCAGAAATTGCATCCGTGATCCCGAATCTTTTATAAGTAAAGACGTTTCTGCATGTTAAAACAATAACAATAACACCAACCAAACAACTAATCATGCCTAGGATCTTTTGGGGTAGCACCACCTGATGAGAATCAAACGTGCCCTAAAGAAAAATTGCCAAAAAGTCTTGGCAGTTTTCAAAGATGGCTGACTAATTCGTCAGAGAATGAACATGGGTTTATGTTTCACTGAGTCCAGCACTATGTGAAAGTGTAGGTTTCAATCTAAAAATATCTGTTACCTGAAAACCCTGGAAAGCACGTCATCCTCTCTGTTTTGACTAGGCAGATATTCCACACGGGTACCCTGTGCATCACAGAAGTATGTTTAGAAAATAGCAAAAATGTAATCAACATGGCTCCTAAAGAAGCAAAGACCTTCATTCTTATTTTCATTTCCTTTTGCTTTTACATTTAAGAGTTAAGATAACATTTCAGTAGAGAAATGTTGAGAAGGGTTAAGGAGAATCAATAATGTTATTCTGTGACTTTTCCCAGGAGGGAAACTGTGTGAATCGAGAATGGCTTGCTTGGCTATATGACAGGTCTGGAGAGAGAACAGTTGATTTTGAAACCAATTTCCCAGTTAGACTAGAAGAAACATAAATACATACGTACCCGTCATTTGCACATATACACGTATGTAAGTGTGCACATTATGCACATATACATATACACGCACATATATACATATACATATAGATATAAAATTTTATAAGAACACTGTGTATGCGTGTAAAAACAATTATTATATATAATTTTGTTATATTAAATGTATTCCACATACAAATGTGTGTACATGTATACACACAAGTTTAAAGCAGATAAGAACAATTTCTTCAGACAATTAGTAATATTAGGCAAAAAACTTCTAATAATAGTTCATACATACTGATCAAGGATCATTTTACATTTTAAATTTTTCTTAAAAGTTTCTTAACTCTTGCTGGGGGCAGTGGCTCACACCTATAATCCTAGCACTTGGGAGGCCAGGGCGGGTAGATTGCCTGAGCTCATGGGTTCGAGACCAGCCTGAGCCAGAGCAAGACCTCATCTCTAAAAATAGCCCAGCGTTGTTGTCCCACCTACTCAGAAGGCTGAGGTAAAAGAATTGCCCATGAGTTTGAAGTTGCTGTGAAACCATGGCACTCCACCAAAGGCAACACAGTGAGACTCTGTCTCAAAAAAACAAAAAAGTTTCTTGACTCTTAAAGAAAGAAATTGACATGCAAATGCCTAAAAGTGACAGATAGTAGAATGGAACCAGAGTTCTTGACTCCAAGCCTGTGGAAGTGTCTTTGACCATAGGAAATCTTCTAAGGGGGCCCTGTAGGTTTTCCAGGAATAACTTTCTCTAATGGTAAAAGTTATAGACATTCTTTGACGGACTAATTTCAACAGGGATAACAACAGTGCAATTGCCCAGGGGACTACCAAGTTTGAGTGGGCTGCGGCCCCATGTTCATCGGAAGTATAATCTTTGACAAATTCAGACAATTTGGGAGGGAGTCAGGATCCTGTGTATCATCTTCATTGGACCCTGAGTTCATTATCTATCCTTTCTGGACTTCATTTTTCTCTTCTATGAAATGAGATGAATAATTCTTTTCCCCAAGATATGTTTTCTTATTGCTCAAGAATATCATCAAAATGTCTTTGTTCCACTCAACCATCAGGAGATGTGTAACTAGCTAAATGGGAATTTCCTTCTCATGACCCAATCTGCTATGATTAATTCCATCGTGCTGTTTCTCTTGTGTCATATATTCAAATCTTAAATTGCTTTTAACATGAACTAAGGTGCTCTATTTATTTTCTAAATCCAAATTCCATCCACATCATAACTGTTAAGAAATGTTCTTACAGGAAAATGAAATCTAGACAAAAGAACTTCTAGAATTTTCCTGGGGAGAACTTGAGAGCTCATCTAATCGGATCGTCTCATTTTATAGTTGGTCGGGCTAAGGATCCAAGGGGTGAAATGCCTTGTCCAAGGTCACTATGACAAAGCTGAGTGGAGAACCCATGTCTCTTAATGTTCAGTTCTATATTCCATCTACTGGGTCATTGTAACCAGAAATAGAAACTAAAGTTCAAGTAAGCAGATCAGACAAGAATATGTCAGCCTTTGGTTTTCCCCAGGGCCAGATTCCAACTCTGTGCACATAACTCAGCCAGCAGGACTTTCTTCTTTGCCCCCTTCCTATCCCTGAAGACCCCACGCAGAATCTGGATCCAACTGAACTCTCACTTTCCCTTGTTTGTTTTGAATATGGTTACACTTGTGCTTTATCTTGTAGCTCTTAAATTTTATCCTCAAGTTCACTTAACTCGCTTCATAGTCAACGTTTACTGAGAGTTTACGTTGTGCCAGTCATTATATAATGGGCTGAGATTGCAGGGGGCTGTAGATCACAGCCAAGTGCAGCACATAGCTGAGGAAGGAGAGGCTGAGATCACCCAAGGTAGTTAAAGAAGATAGAACAGATCTGCTAAGAATTCTCCTGCATCCCCTCCCTGTCCCCTTTCTTATCAGGGTAGACACATTCACCTTGTGCATTGGTTAATCTCTCTTTTCAACAGAAGAGAAATAATATGTGAGATTCTTCCCTCATCTCCATTCCGACTCTCAGTCTTCAGACACTTTACCAGTTGTCCATGAATTTTCTGAACAAATCTGTTTTCCTAATACTTCAATTAGTTCTCACCACGCTGTGGAAAGCAAGTTAGCAGGGCTCACTGATATACATGTATATCTAGATTAGTTGGGGTAAGGATACTACTCATCAATTATTTCCTCCCCTACTCTGCTCTTTCATTACTTTGTTTTAAAAAAGACATTGGCAGGAAGACCCCCTAAGTGTTTACTGGCAGCAGGCAAAGCCCTGCTGACATTTTAAACAGAATCTCAACACTCGCCGTATTTTTGTTTTATTTTCAAAGTACTTTCCCTCCTTCCATCTCTCACTTTTTCATGAAGTATAAGATGTGAATTTCAGGTAAGTAAGCTCATGACAGGAAAGGAAAATCCTCAATTAAAGGTGGCTTGTCTGTGTTCAGTCTGCTGACTGCTCTGTGCTCCTTAACAATACCACCCTAGATTATATTAAATTCCCAGACAAGCGCAGAATAAACAATCACTTATAAAGCACCTATTATGTGGCAGGCACAGTATTAAGCATCAGTAGATTCACAATCAATACATGTGCTCATCTGGGGCATGTTCAGTACCACGCAGAAGCAAAAGACCCTTGCACCCAGACACAGAACGGTCCAGAATTGAGGTAGGCAGTCCCATAACAGCACAGCGGGTCTTTAAAGGCTTAAGGATGTCAAGAAATTTTACTTAACTCGTCCAGATTTTGCAGGGCAGACTGGTTGCAGACTATCATTGGTCTTCTCTGTGCTGGCCTGGAATGGAGCCGGCAGGCCACGTTCATAAAGGGCAAAGCATCAGACCCCGGAGGGCAAACCTGCCACCCGTTGACACAATCCTCTGTGGTATTTATGTCATTGCTCTTGGTAACATGGAGAAACTCCTTGAGAAGTGTCAAATACACCCGATTGAAAATCTCCGAGGCAGCAGTTTCCACCTTTAAAATATTCTTCGACTTCTCCCCCAGAGTGCTCTCTGCTCATTTTTGTTTTAATCTCAGCAGGAATCCCGATACCACGGCTGCACCTTGGACCCCCAAATATGCCTCTAAATAGGTTTCTGTATGATTTTATTTGTATTAATTCTGCACACTCAGCACTTCTGAAACTCTTACCTGTTTTGCAAATATGCGAGTCGGTGTAATCGTATCATGCTGAAGATCTTCCTCACTGCACTGTCATTAGTTAATAACGGGGGAAACCAAGGTGCGCAGGGTATGATTATTATTAATGATACCGGGGATTAACACAAACCCACTCTCTGAATGACATGGAGGCTGTTCATACGTATTACCTCATTTTTTCTCCCAACCTTGGGTCTAGAGACCTAGATTTTATTCTTGGTGCTGGAACAATCTTCTTGGGAAAAGTACTTTGTCACTTCCCACCCATGAAACGGGAATAATGTTATAAGGATATTTGCTTTTCCCTCTCTGGATCCTAAATCTTTAGAATCCAAATAAATAGAAGAATTTTAAATTTCCAAAAGTGAAGTGGGTCTCAAGTTTTTGAGCCT